TCCCTATAAAATAAACAAACTGGTATATATTTAAAAGCGTCACAAAATATTTTTATGATCCAGACACCCTCTTTCAAACATTTACTAAAAAATTGAGAGCTTTACAATGGCCAGTTAAATTCTAGGGCAGGTGTTTTCCACTTAGTTTACTATATATTCTTCTTTCACATAGAGAGTACCACAAATTTGACTAAACTAGCCTGAAAACACATATCTTTCAATTGGCTCTCCCGCAGATATTTTTAACCTTAAAATTTGGCATCACGTCTCAGTGGAAAATATTTTAGAACATCATAAGAATTAGTGTTGCACAAAATCTTAAAATACATTAATTTGGTCAATCCTGTATGAGAATTAACAGTGTGTTTATACATGCTGTTCGTTCAAAAGAAAAAAAACCATGATCCTTACCACTGTGTTACGTTTTTTCCCCTACTGCTTCTTCCCTGAGCTTTCAAAGCCAACATTCTGTGAAAAGAAAAGAGACCAAGTTAGACAACATTCTTAATAATTAGTTACAGGAAGTCCTCAACTTACGAATGGGTTGTGTTCCAAAAGTTCATTTGTAGGTCGATTAAAACTCAGAAACAATGTTATAAATTGTAGTTAGATTCCCAGGCTAGCCCACTAAAGCCTATTTAACCCATTATGTAGCTGGAACACTACGAAAAAGGGTAGAAATACTTGTTTATTTAACCTTGATTGCACGGGTTTGAGGAAAAGCAGGTTTAATTAGAGGATGAGGAAGTAGTTGGAGATTTTGAAGGGGATTTCTGGGTATAACCTAGCCCTCCTACACCACTTCTTGTGGGCTACACCCATCCTCCACTCACCAGGAGGCAGTGAGCAGCACATGCTGGAGGATGCTGGAGAAGCAGAAAGTAGCCATCTGGCCAGTGGCTCAAGAAAAGCAGTGGTTTCCCCTTCAAAGAGCCATTAGCTACACAATCTTCCCCCTGCTCCTCCAGAGTCCTCCAGCCAGCACTTGCACTGCTTGCCACATCCAGTGCCTCTTGCCATCTCCCCTACTGAGGTTGCAGGTGAGCTTTTCCTTGAACGTGGATATGTTTGTAAGTTGGCTGTATGTAGCTCACGCAGTGCCTATATAAACTATTCATATTAGATATTTTACTTACCATTCAAATCATTTAAAAATCCTCCTTCATTTAAACAAAAGTGGTCTGACGAACTGACGGAACTTGCAAGGTTTTTTAGGAATGGTAACCAAAAAGTACCCCTATAGTAAAAGGCAAGATCACTTTCTCCTCTACTATAATTTTGATTTTAGATTTTATCTACACTGTTTCTTCTATAATCCTTACCTATCTTTTTTGAATTGTTAGCAAGTACCATTACCAATATAGAAAAAGTTGAAAATTCATTATAATAATGCTGAAAAACATCCTAATAAATTATAACAACAAATAATAAATTAATTTGTATCAGCAACATTCTCTCCATATGATCTTGAAGACATCTATTTGAGAAGCCAAACATGGTAACTAGAAATTAATAGAGCATGAAAACACTGCACTTCACTCATGCATAACGTAATAACATAAGTTAATTTTCTACATGATTCCTTGTCAGCAAATGCTGGACAAGGCACATCAGATAATTTTCTTTTATTGGTCAAACAAACAATTTGTAATAAGTACACTTTTGGACCAAAAAATGATCCTCAGGTGAAAGACATTTTTTCAACTAAATGTGTGCATATTTTAATAAAAGGGGCAATTTTATCTTCAATATTGGAACTTCAATGTTTATCTTCAATGGGAGTACGGTACTGTTTAAAGATCAATCTACCTTGTCTTTTCCCTTTAGAGATTAGTATTATCAGCTAAAAATGTTTCTGCAGCTGATAATTAAACTTAAAGGATCTCAGTATCCTTTGCAACAAATATACAGTATGTAGATAAGAGTGTATATTTGAATTAGGGGTGTGTATTTAGACTAGACGACTAACCAGTAAGTGCCTAGGCTTATCAAGAGGCAACAGCAGAGGGAAGGGGGCAGTAGAGAAGGCTACCGAAGCAGCCTCTGTCCAAGGAGGGGCCCAGGCTTGCTGCAAATAGAGGCTGCTCCTGGAGATGCAGAACAGCCTCTGTCTACAGGGAGCTCAAACCACCTACGGACAGGGGCTGCTTCACAGTAGCAGACCCTGTCCACACAGGGTCCAATCTTCAAAGTTTACCCATCTGGAGCTTGGGTATTCTTGGCATACATTTGAAAACAATACCATAGACAGTATAGCCAAACTATGCAAGTATTTAAATAATTCTAAGTCAGATATACAAAAACCACAATCATAGAACACTAGAACTGGAAGGGACGTCGAGAGGTCATCGAGTCCAGTCCTCTGTCCTCATGGCAGGACCAAGCACTATCTAGACCCGTGGTCCCCAACACAGTGCCCGCGGGCGCCATGGCGCCCGCGGGGGAA